ATAAATAAAATTGAGTAATTATAGATGAAAGTAAGAGTGGGAAATTATTTCAATTCATAAAACACTAACCTTGGAAGAAAAGAGATGAGGATTCCAAGTGGCCCCAAATCCGTTGAACTGTTTATGAATCATTTGTAAATATTTGGTTTGTGAAAACTATGAAGGGAGAAGAAACGTTTTTTTCTATTATAAATAATAAGTGTCGTGAATAAAATATATTGGTAATTACTATTTTATTTCGTCCTTATTTGATTGCAATAATCTAGGAGTTTGTTACGGTTTAAGTTAATTTGAAAAAGAGTTGATTGTGTATTTAACACACAATATTTTGATTTGAGTAAAAATGGAAAGAGGTTGAAAAAATATGTTGAAACCCAACTTGCAGATAAGGCAGGCGTATCACTCCTTCCTCCAGATGTGTCAGTTTGGATCTTGTATCTCCCCCTTCCTTGGACAAGACGTTGCGTTCACCTCCATCTCGCATGTCTTCGGTGGGACGGTCAACTCTTTATTGAAGGGTAACTTCTCAATCATCTAACCATTTTTCCCGTTTTTGCTTTGGTTTCCGATATATTTGAGTCTTTCGACCATACCAGGCAGGGTCCGGCATCATAAGCATGATGTAGTTTTGTTTTTTAATTTGTTGTGTGTTTTGGAAAAAACGGGAAAAAATTGTTTTAAGCGGGATTTATGTTATCACCAAATTCTGGGGGCTTTAACCTTGGCAGGCGGGTCCATAGGAATGCGTGGGTATAGTTTGGTCATTTCCCAGCATATTGGATGCGCTTTTCCTTTAAAGGCAAATTGAAGTGTAGTGAACAATATGTAATTAAACCATATTAGGTTGGATGTGGTTTAAAGAGTTGAGGTTATATTGCTGTGAACCGAAAAAGTGATCAATTTATTCCAAACTCTTGAAAAATCTAAAATATTAAATTATAAGTATATGTAAGTTTGAAGTAGACTTTAGAAACAAAAGACAGAATGTAAAAGTGATGAAATAAACAGGAATAGTTAAATATTTCTTTATAAAGTAATTTCTATTTGATGCGTTGTTTTTTCCCGAGAGTCTTCTTAGTTTGAGCGCCAACAATGTGTTGTGCATCTTCATGTGCAGCCACCTACCGTTATTGACATTATAAAAGAGTCGTTATACCGTTATTAATATAATTTTGTAAATAATATGTAATTTTGTACGTGTTTTTAGGCTATTGAAACACATCATACCTGAATTTTTGACATTGTGATAAAGTCACACAATTCGGATATAGAAACACTCTCCATTTTCATAACCGTATGGATCGGTTCCTCAATTTTTAATGCGATGTCGATGTTGTCTTTAAACCTACGGAAAATAGTACAATATATGAGCATAACATATTGATAAACGGTATATAAATAATAATTTATGAGATATACATGTTGATAAATGTTCTGTTCGCGTCGACTTCATCGTCGAAGAAAAATCTGGAAGCTGATGTGGTGTTAAGAAATAATGACCCTACAAAAAATATTTAAGAAATTTAAACAAAAAAGGAATGCATATATTTTTTATGGTGTTCTTCAGCTGTTTTATTAATAATAAAATATAATATAAAAAATATATGAAATCTATTTAGCGTTAGTATACGATTAAGAAAAAAGTACGTCTTCTGTACTTTATTTTTTGAAAAAAAAAAGCAGAAATACAAACAAAAATATCAAAAACAAATGTAACACTTGTTTGAAGAATTTATAAATAGTGAAAGATACAACATTTCAAATATTTATATACCTTGCCATCTGTAAGTCGATAACAACTATTTGCTTGGTTAACAAATGTTCATTGTGAGTATCTCTAATACTTCGGACACGACCAATGACATCTTTGGTAAGGATAGAAAAATATAAAAATTAGTAATGTTTAATAAATAATTTAATAATTTATGAGGAAAAATGTACCGATAATATGTTATGTCAACGCACCTGGTAATTCTTCATTTTTGTTAGCCAAGGCAACCAGTTCGTCATAGTCGCGGAACCTAAAAATCTCCTTAGGTATCACAACAGCGGTATCATCAACTTCTAAAATATTAATCCGTTCAGTGAAACGAAGAGATAACTTGAAATCAGTTAGCTTGAAGAGGTCGTTGGCTCTAACAACATCAAAATCAGTTAGAAGATAAACTGCTCATTCACGCAACATATCTTTGAAGCGACTCAAACGTTGTCGGTTTATAGATCCATGAATAACAGTAGACTATAAACCGATAAGCAAAAAAGGTAAAGGAAATAATCAGTAAAAATAAAATAACATTATTGTGATAATAAGTAACAAATAAAATTTTAAAAGGTATCATAATGTGTGATATACCTCTTTGTGGATCAGAAGAAAATCAATACTCATAAGTTCACCATCTTTCTTGACATTTTGAGCCTCCCAAAACCGTAACAATCGACAAACAATTAGTTGCATTGGACGACCAACGCGTAGTTCAACAAACATCAGACATGAGGAAAGGAAATCATTTGGAGAGTCAGCCATGGGTTAAAGGGAAAAAAGTAAGCTAAGGATGTGAAGAGGAATCCAAGGACAACACACACTTGGAGATTTGTAATAGTGGAGATTTGTAATAAAGCGGATGTGACAGAGCTTTTGTAGATATAGGGTCCACTCAACATCTATATATAATAATGGAGATTTGTAATAAAGTGGAGCTTTCAATCCGTCATAGACTCTTGGAAACTTTGTGAAATAAAAAATAATAATTGGCCCATAATCTATTAATTGGATAGTTATTTCAAAAGCGTTAGTGTTATTTTTAAGACGGTAACCTCCACATTCATGTAGACATTTAATCAAATGTTAATCACATTTAAATTTAATAATTGAATGTAATGACTCGCTGGCAGTAGTGGATTAGTGGGAAGCCTCCATTAGTGCATTAGTGGATGAATGAAAAAATAACGGAAAATGTAATGAAAAACATTAAAAACTCATTAACTACTTAAAAGGTGGAGTGTGCATATATTGGTATTAAATACCAACAAATTTTTATTATAGCCATGATTATGATTATAATTATTTTTATTTTTTAATTATAAACCAACATAAGATGAACACAATCCTATACATAAATTGAACAAAATATATATATACGTATATGTATATATATATACGTAAACGCTTTTTTTTAATAAGGATATAGTAAATATCTTTTTTATATACTCAATTAGCATACAATATTAGAAAATAAAAATTAGAAAGAAAAATGGTTATTATAAAAAGAGAGAAAATGTTTTTATTAAATGATAAATATAAATTTAAATAAATGTCACATATGATGAAAAAGCTTTTGTTAAAATATTTTTTAAGTGTCCTAAATATTTAGTGGGTTTTCCATTTTTTTGTAATACGCCTTTTATAATTGTAAATAATTATTATTAATAAGTGATAATCTAACCAATTTATATGTAGTTTAAAAATGGTTATTTAAAAAAGAGAGAAAATGTTTTTATTAAATGATAAATAAAAATTTAAATTAATGTCACATATGATGAAAAAGCTTTTGTTAAAATATTTTTTAAGTGTCCTAAATATTTAGTGGGTTTTCCATTTTTTTGTAATACGCCTTTTATAATTGTAAATAATTATTATTAATAAGTGATAATCTAACCAATAATTTTAAATAATTATTATTTTTATATATAGAGTTTAGTGATAATCTAACCAATTTATATGTAGTTAATGAGTTTATAAATGATAAATAAAAGATTGAAAACAAAATGCCACATGGATAATGACATGGAGATAAAGTGGCTTCACCAAATATCTCCAAATCCAACTTTTATATATATAGATTTGTGATGAAAATCGGAAAAATTTGAAATTGAGTGTGGGATTTTGTCAAATTAAAAATTGATGTACTAATTTTACACTAATAATTTGTGTGGGTTTATGTCATTTTCTCTTATTATTATTATTATTATTATTATTATTATTATTATTATTATTATTATGGGTTTGTTTTGTATTTCCATTGTTTTCTAATATTGGGTCAATCATGAAAATGTTCAGTTCCTTTTTTTTTAATTCACACTTGTATTCATATGACAGATGTCTGTTAAATTAGTGATGTTGTCCGAACAGTAACTTTCATTAGCTCATATGGATTATGGAGTTTCATTAGCCTCTTTTAATAAAAATAATAATAATAATAGTTCCTTTTTTTTAAAATACTACCTAATGATGAAACCAAACTGATATTTCTGTTGTGACAAAAAAAATAATAATGTATTTGCTAACATTTGTATGGTATTTATGTCTCTCGATCGGCTTTAAATTTAGGTTAGAACTTGGAAAGAAAAATTGGGTTTATATGATATAAAATGACAATAAATTTAGAATAATTTCGACGACAATATTTACTTATTTTTATTTTCTATAATATTTATTAAAAAAAATATTGAGAAACCCATCGCTTCGGCATGTTTATCTTGAAAAATATATTTGGATGCTTTTAGATTCATTAATTTATAATTCTTCTATATCGTCAATATGATTTCATAATTAATAGAAAAATTCTAATAGTACATAAATTTTATAAATATATCAAATAATACTAAATTTTTAATTTGATCTAATTAATATCTATTAAAATATTTTAAATTAATATTTCAAATATTAAAATCGATTATAATTTTCAAATTCGAATCAGACGGTTATATATAAATTAGATATAATTTTTTGATATAAAAACTAATCAAAGTTATAAATTGATTTTGATTTTATAAATTTAGATGTTAATTTAGAATATTTTAATATTTGAAATGTTGATTTAAAATATTTTAATGTTTAATGTATCAATTAGATTAAATTAAATATTTATTTGACATATGCAATTTTCCTAATTAATAAAAAAAAAGTAAAAGGAAGAGATATTAAATTGGATATTCCAACCCATTATTCAATGGGTTTCTATGTGTTTTGGGTTTGATCCAACCAATTTTAACCCAAACACTTTTTTTTTTAATTGGAAAGAAAGCCATTCATCTCTCTCCCGTGAACTCGCAAACGCCATCATGAAAAACCCTCGAATCTGATCTCCGATCTCGCCCTCCAAGATCTCTCTGTTCATGGCTACTTGCGATTTCTTATCATAGCCCCATCTCGATTTCGATTCGCGATTCCCGCCTCTCGCTGTTCCTTCTCTTCCCTCTCCAATGGCGACGTCGTCTTCCAATTCGCTCATGGACAGTCTGTTTCAGCGAAGCCTCGAGGATCTGATCAAGGGTCTTCGTCTCCAGCTCATCGGAGAATCCGCTTTCATCTCCAAATCCCTAGATGAAATCCGCCGCGAGATCAAAGCGACGGATCTCTCCACGAAATCCACCGCTCTCCAGAAGCTCTCTTACCTCAACGCACTCCATGGCATCGACATGTCGTGGGCTGCGTTCCACGCCGTCGAGGTCGTGTCCTCTTCTCGCTTCGCCCACAAGAGGATCGGTTACCACGCCATTGCTCAGTCCTTCAACGACCAGACACCTGTTCTGCTCCTGATCACGAACCAGCTCCGTAAGGATTTGAACAGCACGAACGAGTACGAGGTTAGTCTCGCTCTTGATTGTTTGTCTAGGATTGGAACTGATGATCTAGCTAGGGATTTGACGCCCGAGGTTTTCACGGTTCTGGGTAGTAGCAAGGCCTTCGTCAGGAAAAAAGCTATTGGTGTTGTCTTGAGGGTTTTCGACAAGAACCCTGATGCTGTTAGGGTATGTTTCAAGCGTCTTGTCGAGAATCTTGAGAGCTCCGATCCTCAGATTCTCTCTGCAGTGGTTGGAGTGTTCTGCGAGCTCACCACAAAGGATCCCCAATCGTATCTTCCCTTAGCTCCCGAGTTGTATAAGATTCTGGTGGATTCGAGGAACAATTGGGTTCTGATCAAGGTTCTCAAAATTTTCGCTAAGTTGACTCTGATAGAGCCGAGGTTGGCTAATAAGGTGGCTGAGCCGATCTGCGAACACATGCGGAGGAGTGTAGCTAAGTCTCTGGTGTTTGAGTGTATTAGGACCGTGGTGAGTAGCATGAGCGATCATGAAGCAGCTGTGAAACTTGCGGTTGCTAAGATCCGGGAGTTTCTAGTTGACGATGATCCGAATCTCAAGTATCTTGGTCTGCATGCCTTGTCAATTGTTGCTCCGAATCATTTGTGGGCAGTTTTGGAGAACAAAGAGGCTGTGGTTAAGGCTCTGAGCGATGAGGATCCGAATGTTAAACTTGAGGCCTTGCGGCTGTTGATGGCAATGGTGAATGAAGATAACGTTTCAGAGATCTCCCGGATTCTTGTGAATTACGCGCTTAAATCAGACCCTTTATTCTGCAACGAGATTATCGGTTCCATCCTGTCAGCATGCTCCAGGAACGTATATGAGATCGTAGTTGATTTTGATTGGTACGTGTCTCTTCTCGGGGAAATGGCTAGAGTTCCACATTGCCAAATAGGGGAAGAGATTGAGCATCAGCTGATCGATATCGGTATGAGGGTCAAAGATGCTAGGCCGCAGTTGGTCTGTGTTTCTCGGGTGTTGCTTATTGATCCAGCATTGCTCGGTAATCTGTTCTTGCACCCGATATTATCCGCCGCTGCTTGGGTTTCCGGGGAATACGTCGAGTTCTCTAAGAACCCATTTGAAATTGCCGAGGCCCTTCTGCAACCGCGGACTTGTCTCTTGCCGCCTTCCATTAGAGCCATCTACATAGAGTCCATCTTCAAAGTTCTTGTCTTCTGTATGAGGTTGTACTTCTTGGGCCAGGAACCCGCTTCCTCATCTTCTGTTGATGGACCTAGTCCCGTTTTTTTGGAGAAGAACGGCTTCACCCATGAATCTGTGGTGAATCTAATGAATTCAATTGAGTTCTATTTGTGGCCGTTATCTGGAACCCATGATGTGGAAGTGCAGGAGAGAGCTAAGAACGTTCTAGGGTTCATCGGTCTGATAAAGCAAGAGATAGTCGAGAAAGAAAGCATCCAGAACAGTGGAACCGAAGCTCTGAGAGTCATAGGGTTCATGGAAGAAGTGTTCTCGCTCGGTCCTGTCTCTGCGACTGCACAGGAAAGAGTTTCTGTACCAGAAGGGTTAGAGCTCAAAGAAAATCTCGGAGATCTGCAAGACTTTATCCAACCCATCGAATCAAATGTGTTCTCTCCCACAGACAAAATCAGCTTCTCGGTTTCGAAACTCGGAATCAGAGATCAACAGGAAGAGTCACCTCCGCCAGAACCGGCATCTCTTCTGGCAGAACACCGCAAACGGCATGGCCTATATTACCTTCCCTCTCAGAAGAACGACCGAGACAGCGACGGAAACGATTATCCTCCGGCAAACGAACTGGCGGACGAGATATCGGTAGAGTCGTTTAACCCTCGGAGAAAGCAGGGTCAGTATAAACCGAGGCCAGTGGTGGTGAAACTGGACGAGGGAGATGAGTCAGCCTCAGTGAAAACGACAAAGGAGGATGTGAAGGATGATGAATCTTTGTCACGCGCAATTCAGAACGCTCTTATGGGAAAGGATGAGAGATATTTGGATACAGGGAATGGAGAATCGAGCTCGAGAAGGGAAATAAATCATGAAAGGGCAGAGAAGGAGAAGGAGAAGGAGAAGAAGAGAAAGAAGAAGAAGAAGAATGGGGAGAGAAGTAGCAATAAGCATAGATCAAGGCGAAGAACAGATGAAGAAGAAGAAGTTGGTGATTCGAAGCGGGTAATGATCCCAGATTTTCTCTTGTGAGAAAACGGGTTTGTGATTGAGATCTGGAGATTTAAGGTTTGTGTCGGAGAGCTCTTGCTGTTTTTTTTTTTTTTTTAATTTAATTTTCTTTTCTTTTTTTGGGTTATTATTGTATAGTGATTTTAATGTATCAATTTACTGGTTTTGTGAAATGTAAACAGATTTGAGAAAGAAAAAAAAACTTGTGGAATTCAATGGCTTAATTAACCACTAAAATAATCTCATCTATAAAACGTTTCACTAACTCTGTAATTATCCTTCTTAAATACAGAGATTAATCATTGTCCACAAAAAGGGTTGTATATATAACACACCATATAATGCAAGCATGATGATCCATTGTCCATTGTTATATGTTCTCCGCATGACGAAGAGCATATATATACACACACATATATATATATATATAACCATCCACTTTGAGTCGAAAGAGTACACTGTTGACAGTGAAGAAGATGGATGATTCCATTGATATACAAATACACCATACAAAATACTACACCACGCATACAGTTTAACAGTAGACAACAACATCAATATGCAACCACCATGACCATGACCATGACGATCATCATCATCATCATCAATGACTGTTATTCCCAACACTTGAAGACGACGACCAGACCCACGAAATGTGTATATATATATATCACTAATTAAACCTTTGATATATAGAGAGAGAAAGATGACAGACACACAAACTCAGATGATACATATATATATATATATATATATATATATAAGCATAGATGGGGGGATGGATATAGATTCATCAGCACTTGGGGTAAGGGAGCTTGCATTGGGAGGAGACACGCCTGGCGTTGGAATATGCATTGAGTAACCGCAGAGACATGGCTTCTGCTGTCTCAGCCTCTGACAGCACAGCCCTGACGGCGGAGCCGACGACGTTATCGCGGCGGCGCATGGACTCAGCTGTATTGGCGAACACGTCACCGCCCCTTCCGTCATCGCCGTCATCGTCAGGATCAGGATGAGGGCAAAAAGGTAAATGAACTTCTCCTCCCTCTTCATCGCCATTCTCTCTGTCTCTCTTTGATTTTGTGTTGTTTCTCTGCGCTACTGCTCTCTCCGGTATGCGTTTTATGTCTATTTATAGAGATGAAAAAAAGAGAGAGAGAGAGAAAGAAGACTTTTTTTTTATCTATTTTTTTTATAAAAGATTAAAAAGGATCAATAAAAGCAAAAAAAAAATATTTGAAATGTATAGCAATATATAGCACTTGCACCGTAATCTATTAGTATTAGATGCTTTTTTTATTTATGTGCATAATTACGATATGTTAATAAAAAAAATACATACATACATAATTATTACACGTCTATATATAGAAACTTGCAATATATAAATACGTAGGCGAAGTCGATCATGTTAATACGAATTTGATTTATTCCCAAAAAAAAATATTTTACGAAAATACTATTTTTATTTTTATTTAGGATAAACAAAAAAAGCCTTCAAATTTATTATTTACATAAAAAAATCTATTTAAAATTCATTATAAAAAACAATGAACTATTAATTTTAAACAAAAATACCATTAACTATATAAATTTTTAAAAAACAATCTTTTACTTTGAGTTTATTATAAAAAATCATCAACTATTAATTTTAATAAAAAAAAATTAATTATCTATCTACATTACTCAAAAAATATTTTATTTAAAATTTATTATAGAAATCTATAAAATTTTATTATATATTAATATTTGATAGATTGGGTATATTTATTGATTATAAGTTTTTTTATTTAAAATATAATACTTTTTTGAGAATTTGAAATAGTTGATAATTTTTTATTAAAATTATTATATAAATCTATGAAAAAAAATTAAAGTGATAATTTTGAATTTCTAAAATAATAATATATAATAAAATATTAAAATAATAATTACAATCAATAAAATATATTCAATTTGTAATATCTCAAATATTAATATATATTTGTAACGTTCCAAGACAGCTACAGAATGATGAAATTACCTTCACACCAACACGAGACTTTCTAACGTTTTTGTCCTCACTCGTATACATCTTGAAAAGTATTTTCCAAGGCATCTTAATTAAGACTACTTCAAAGCAAACACACTTAGCTTTGATATTCTCTTAGGATAGGCAATCGAATTCTTGTTGGTATGAATAGTTCAATCAATTCATTTAAATTATCATTGACTGTATAGTCTCATACCTACACCGCCCTCGGATCTCTCTCATTCCGGTGCATTCGATTCATTCATGTATATTCTGGTCTAGCGGTACTAGAGAAATCGCTCATTGTCCGTACCTACACTGGCGATCACTCTCCATCCTCATTCTAGTTCGGTATATCACAATATTTTTTATATTTTAATAATTGATTATTTTTTATTATAATTAATAACTAATGATTTTTATAACAAATTTAAAGTAAATATTGTTTTTAAATAATTTGTATAGTTAATAATATTTTTGTTCAAAATTAATAGTTAATGATTTTTTATGATGAATTTTAAGTAGAAGATTTTTTTGGTGTAATTAGGCCCTTTTTATTTTGTCGGCAAACTTCTACTTCCAAAAATAAGAAACTATTACTTAGCAAATCGTAGTGCTACAAATATAAAGATGTTCGTGTGAACATAAGAAGGCCACAAAATCACGTCTTACAAAATCAGGAAACATTTATATATATATATATATATAACTAAGTAAACATATATGTCAGCATCTTAACCTCATCTTCGATTTCAGTGAAATAAAAACAATAGAAAAAATAGTATGCCACATCCCATAATAATATTTAATACGTAAAAGGTTTCAATTTTAGAATGAGAATGTTTTGAAGTTCTGTTTTTTTAATAAAATTGAAATAAAATAGATATAGAGTTTGGTATCCCAAATTGTTTATGAAATTTTAGAAAAGCACTTACCAAACATCTAATAATTGCCTTAATATTACATTTGAAAAAAAATATATGTTAAGGTGTTATGAAACATCTAAAACAACAAATGTCAGGAATCATTTCATCACATGATTTAAAAATCATATAATTATTTACCAAAAAAAATCATATAATTAACAATTACTTACAATATACTTGATTGTAGATCAATATTTTAAATTTTGTTTAAAACTCTGGTTTGATTATTTTTTAATTGGAGTTTTTATTTTGGAATATATTATATTCTGCTGGGTTTCATTATAGATTTTTAGTTCGGCTTAAATATGCTCAACATGGGCGGATCTATTTTCATATAAGTAGGGGCACATGCCCCATTCACATTAAAAAAAGAGAAATATTATTTATAGTTTTAATTAAATTATAACAATGCCTCCACTAAAAAATTAAGTGATGCCCCCTCCATTTTTTTTAATTCTAAATCTTTTTTTTCAATTTTTTTCTACCAATTTCACATTCTCCTTCATTTTTTTAATTTTTTTTCCAATTCCAAATTAATTCTGTTTAATCTTTTATCAAATAAAAAAAATATAAATCCAATAATAATTAAATCCAAAAAACTAAAACCAACAAAAATATTAAGTATTCTGGATTTTATTTTAAATATTTTTTTATCTTTTATTCATTATTTCTAAATATCTATCATATTAATAAATTTGTTTTTATACAAATCTCATAATTAATTTAATAGAGAAATCTATTGAGAAATTTCTCAAAAATAATTTACAGTATCAAAAATTTAATGATCTATTTAACGAATGAATTCAAAATTGCTCACTTATATGACAGTTGTTAATCATGTTAAAATAATTTTACGTAGTCAGATTGGTGATCAGCTTTTGAGTGATTTTCTAATTTGTTTAATCGAAAAAATATGTTTGAGATAATTATAAATGAAGTTGTTATGGATAGATTTTAAAAAATGAAAGATCGGAGAATTTAGCTGTAGAATGAAAAATATTTTTGTGATAATATATTTTTATTAGTTTTTTTATATTTTATATAATATTTATAATTATTGCCCCCATTGAAAAAAATTTCTGGATCCATGCTCAAACTCCCTTTTAACAAAAACATATGTAATATTTTTTTATTATGTTATACTATTTTAAAACTACTTCAGAATCCAATCCATTTTGTTTAAAAGGCCCATAACCAATCGATATTTTATGTAATATTCACATATACTATTATTTAAATTCGATTTAGTTTGTATATCTAAACCAAGATAACTGTATATAACGCAGATGAAAACATTATCTTTTATATATGGGTCAACTGAAATGGAATTTTGTGAAGAAGAAAAAAATTGAAACGAAGGAAAGTTGTGGGACCAAACATTGAATTAATTAGCCGAAGTCGAGAGCTCAAAAAGGACAGGCTTTCGGTGATGTTACTTTTTTCTTCCCATATGGTTTTATCCTTATGATACATCCCAAGACTTTTTCACACATATATATGTATGTATATGCATGCGTATATATTAGGGTTCTTGAATAAAGTTGGAAATGAGAGGAAGCGTGCGTTTGGGGATCCGTGTGATTAATCATTAACCACAATCACTTCAATGGAGTATTTATTATTATCATTATTATATATGATTATTATTTGATGATTTATTAGTATCATCCAAATTCCCCATTTTGCAATTTATATTTTATAAATACCTTTTTTTGGTTATTAGCAACAATTCATTCCACTGCTTGACTTCGTACAAAAAGATATTAATTATAATATTAAATGGTTATTAAATAATATCAAGTTGTTTTTTAAGATTTCTAAAATTGTATTTGTATAAAAATTTAAAGGTAAATAGATTATTTTTTATAATTTATAAAAAAAAATATAGCAATAGTATAGATCATAAACTTTTTTGCATCTATATTACGTAATAGTTAATTTATAGAAACAAAAACGATGGCTAAACATTTTGTTTCCTTCATTATTTTTAAAATTAATAAGAAAGAAAATACACGATTAAAAGAACATGTGTTATTACTTATAAGCGAAAGATCCTCGATCTCCATGGATAACTTAATAATTAATGTGCCACGATCTCTTTTTTTTAAATAATAATTAATTTTTAACTCTAATGAGAAAACAATTTTGAAATCATGAAAAAAAACATAGTGATTTTATAGCTTTAAGATCCTCACGCTCAGTGTGACAATTATCATTGTTATTATTTATTGTTGTTGATATAGATAAATATAATGGTTATATTGTTCGGGATGATATCATTAGCATGTTTCATGTTTGTATATGGACTTACATATACATACATACATATATATATATATATGACTAGTTAAGAAAGTCATTTACAGAATTCTTTCTATCTATTTAAATATAATTATAATGTAAAAAAAAAAAGTAAAGAATTATTTATAGATAACATTATCATTTCGTGATTGTTAAATTCTTTTTTCCCTAGCATGATATATGTGAGCATCTGCCTAATAAACCATAATTTACATTTATTTAACATTAAAATTTTAGAATTTTTGTTTGACAAGATAATTAAAATAATTTTATTATCTTTTATTTCTGTTCCGATTTGAGATGAGTAAATTTTTTAAAATTATACGTATACCCAAAATTTGTGTAAACACTTTGAAAAATGTCCAATATGTTACATATTTTATCTTTTTTTTTCTCCCCCACTTTATAAAGTGTTTAAAATTATTATTATTCACTAAGAATTTTGCACGCCTTACCACCACACCTACCAATTCTCACTATGTTTTGTTTCGGAAAAAAAGTCAAAAACAACAGTAGAAACCCTAATTTATAATTTACATTTTCTTTTTCTTTTTTTTTATTTGCTGCGTTTATAATGATTTTGGAATATGAATACCCCTTTAGGAAACTCAATAATTAGTTTTTTTTAACGGAGTGTCGTGGACCAAACCTAGATTAATTTTGGGATCGAGAATCAATAATGTGATTTGAAATATATATCTATTTCTAAATTTGAGGTTCGAATTCCAGATGAGACAAATATTTTGCATTTATATATCACCTATTAAACTATTCAAGTTTAGGTTTAAATTAGTTAGCAGATATATATAATTAAAACTGATTTAGTGAAAATAATATGCATTGAATTAGTTAGTACGTTAGTAGATGGGATTAGAATTGACATACAGAAATGATATGTAAGTTTATGGTCCGAATTAAGTACGTGTATCCTTTACAATTATTAACACTAAAAGTTTAAATTTTCATATTTTTTGTTTGAAGAAAGTATTTTTCCTTTCACAATAAAAAAAAGTTGTTGTTTTCAGACTTTAAAATTTGGCATAAATTCATTATTGAATTTTTTGGGTGTATTATCTCTCTCAAGTACATAGGAATTCTCCATGCGGTCGTGAATATGAAATTATTTGATTTTTAATTCAAATATAATACTGAATCATAATGAAAGGCCAAGCATGCAATGCAGCCGAAATAACAATGATGATGCTAATATTTTCTTTAAAAAATCTAAATATTTTAATCGAAACCAAACCGCATCAAAACCAGAAACAAATAATATACTATACTAATTTGATACAAATTTTAGAATGTCGAATAAACCGTTTGCAAACCGAACCGCTAAAATTCTGAACCGAAATTCGAAATGGCTATCCCTACTAGAAATCGAGTAGGAATGATTATTTTTGTTTTCAGAATACCCATTTCGATATTTTTTTTAAATCTAAAAACAAATAGAAATAGACATTTTTACATTTACATACCATTTGATCTAAAAACAAATTAGAAATGGGCATTTGGGTTTTCCATATAACACAAAAAGATAAGGGCTATAACCATAGTGGAAAATATGATTTGTGATGAGATCCAAAGAAGAACTTATTAAGAGATCTCATGCCATTGAAGAGATCCACCATGGCCACTAGTATTCATGAACTTGTATACAGCTCCTGAAACTATAAGATTTTCAATTGAAGATATTAAAAAAAAAAAACTGCAAGTTTCGGTAATTTATAAATGGGAAAGATGAAAGAGAGTGCGTACCTTCGTAGCCTCCTTGAACAGGATCTTCTGCTAGAAGAAGTGGGGTGTCCAAGTCTATGTATCTGTAATGACAGGAAAATCTTGTTCATGATATGAATTTTGACTTCAAAGATTGAGAATTCTAGGGACAAAAATGTCATTTTTACTGTTTATTCGGGTACCCGTGAGTAATACCCGATCTCGAATCCAATTACTCGTATGATTTTCGGGTTTTTATTATGGATCTCATCTCATGTAGTACTTGGGTACCCGACCCGCAGGCGGATACCAGAAATTCGAGTTTTTTTTCCGTCGAAACATACCTGAAACACCCGAGGCCGGCAGCAAGATGACCGGAGAATCCCATGGCGAGTCTAGTCTCTACCATTCCACCGATCATCAGCTCCATTCCAGATGCTCTTGCCAACTCAATGATCTCAAGGGCCATGAGTATTCCGGATTTGGCTGGTTTGATGTTAACCACATTCGCAAGATTACCCTCTATGATCTTCTCGAGATCCTTCAAGTCTCGACAGCTCTCGTCCGCCGCAACCGAGATCCCGAACCTGTCCCTTGCCATACTAGTCACGTGACCGAGACCTTCCCAATCGTCTCTACGGACGGGTTGTTCAAAGAGAATCGGTATAACCTTCATTTCTGGTTAAGACAAATGGCAAAGCGATACTCTTTCCATTGAAAGGCCAGACTAAGATAGGGAGCAACGAATGAAATGATCTTACCATGCAGTCTCTCAAGAACTTCAATGGCTTCCTCTGGACTGTAGCCTTCATTTGCATCCAAAATGAAGGAACTAGTCGGGTGGACTGAGCGTATGGCCCGAAGAACTTCAATGTCAGCATCAAGATTCTTCCCCACCTTGAGCTTCAAGGTTTGAAACCCTTGTCTTCTGTATTTGGATGCCAACTCCATGGCTTCCGCTGGAGAAACTATTGGAATCTGATCATATTATTACCATACAACTCTGTCACAGCCACATCCATTGATTACTTTTCACCCAAGAAGCCATGACTAGAACCCTAACGAACATCGATTTCCAGACTATGAAACTGAAACCCAACCAGCAACCACTACTCTTAATGGTTAGATTGTCAAAAGGTTATCATTCTCTTTCTCCAATACCTGTAAAAATCCTATTCAAAGTCGCCAACATATACGAGTTTCTGTAATTAGACCCATCATCGCAACTGTCCATTGATATCTGTACTATTCTCCAAGCAGAAAATGATGGGGAAAACCCAGAAGAGTTAAGGATAAGAACCAAACTGTTATGTCAGTGACAATCATGTCTGAAGCTCCACCGAATAGACTCCACAATGGTTGGCCTATGCTCTTTGCCGCTGCATCAATCAATGCCATCTCCATCCCAGCTCTGACCTTTACTACTCAAACCATATTAGCAATTTCCAGTTTTGTAAGAGTGAGATCTCAGAGATTTTCGAAGAACACGAAAAAGAAAAGGGCTACTGCCAAATCCCTTCTCAAACACACACAGAGAGCCTGTAATAAACATCACAGCCAACAAGTATATCACAAGGAAACCGCAATGTATTTGGTGTTTGATTCATTTCAACATCAATACTGGGCTCATGATTTGATCGACATATTCCATACAAATCACTTAAACCCGCATGAAAATTGGAACCCAACAAGTTTTGTTATGGCTTTGGACATATTCAAGGTCAGGACCAAGCTTTATCAAGCCAGAGATGCTGAGATGAAGTCATGATTGTGCATTTTAGATATACAATAAAGATATGAAACTTTTCAGTTTTCATGGTTTCAGAGAATACTACTAAATCAAACGATCACCATAGCAACATACTTATAAGAGAAAGCAAGCTCCAGAGAGAAAGAGCCATTAAAATGGGCTATTAAGCAAGGGGCAATTCCACACTTACAGAGGCAAATTGATGAACAGGGAGGACTCTACCGATCTCCCGAAGAACATTCCCAAGCTTTGCCGGGGGGGAATTCCCCAGAAACTCGCATGCTTCCCGCGCTTTCGCCATGGCCGTCGTCTGATCCTCCGCCGTCACCGACGGCAAAACAGGAGCTTCACCCCAACCGACACACCCATCGCTCAGCTCAACTCGAATCGCGACGTTTCCCACATAATCAAGCCGAGAAGAAGCGATCGTGAAGGGCGAGAGCAGAGAAACGTTGAGCTCGCGATTCTCCGCTCTCCGGACGCGCACCGTGAAATTCTCCATCAGGGTTTTGAAATTCGACGCCTCCATGACAATGGGTATCGAAGATTTCGGAGGGTTTTGGGATCCAGGGGTGAAATTGAGGAAAGGAGAGGAAGAAAAAATCGAAATCATCTCGCTAGGGATTTGAAGATTTCACGGGAGGAGAGTGCGGTCGTGTCGGCTCTGTAACACTTTCCAAATTCGGCCATTGGAAGAAAGAAACGTTTCATTGCATGCAGCTCTAGCCTCTCGCGAGCTTGACACCGTCGGGCTTTTTTTCCCTCCGAATTCGGTAAGGAAGGTTAATTAATAAAAGAGTAAAACTAATTTCTAACGATTAATATATAAAGTTTTGGTATCCATAATTTATTATTGTTTAATACTGACTCCATTTAATTTTACATACAACAGATATTAAAAAAATAAATATTATGTCTAAAATACTTTTATTTAATTAGAATTAATTTTTCTAATTATGATAATTTGTTATTATCTTTCCCAATATATCATCTATCAAATTTTTTCTCTACCGTCAAAATATACTTTTCAAAACTAATTTTTTTTCATTTTCAATTGAAACAACGAAAATCTAAATTTTTTCCCCTAAAAATTCAAATTTGGAACCAAAATAGCACAACTACAACCAACAAATGTCTATATATTAGATTAGAATAATCACAAACAAACAAATTTTTTCCATAGCTTCTTATAATATTATTTAGGAGAAATGACATTTTCCTACACCAACTTTGCAAAATGTGACCTTTTCCTACATGAATTTTTAATTTGACAAAAAACTACACCAAATTATCAAATGTGCCAAATTGATACACGAACTACCCAATTTAACTACAATTTCCTACACAATCCGAAAACGGTGTTAAGTGTCCGTTAACCGCTGACGTGGCACGCCACGTGGCGGCTAACGTGGCACGCCACATAGATTTTTTTGCCACATCAGCATGCCACGTCATATTTTTTAAAAAATTCCGAAAAATATGAAAAAAAAATCAATTTTTTTTAATTTAAAATAAAATAAATAAATAACAATATATATATATATATATATATATTCAAATATATTCATATCTATATACAAATAAAAATATAAATATATATACTCCTATATAAAAATATATAACTATATATATACAAAATAAAAAACATACACATATATATACAAACATCTATACAAA